GCACTATTTACAATAGCCAAGAAATGGAAGCAACCTAAGTGTCCATCAGTAGATGAATGGATAAAGAAGATGTGGTACATATACACAATGGAATATTATTCAGCCATAAGAAGAAAACAAATCCTACCATTTGCAACAACATGGATGGAGCTAGAGGGTATTATGCTCAGTGAAATAAGCCAGGTGGAGAAAGACAAGTATCAAATGATTTCACTCATCTGTGGAGTATAACAACAAAGAAAAAACTGAAGGAGCAAAACAGCAGCAGACTCACAGAACCCAAGAATGGACAAACAGTTACGAAAGGGAAAGGGACTGGGGAGGATGGGTGGGAAGGGAGGGATAAGGTGGGGAGGGGAAGAAAGGGGGCATTGTGATTAGCATGTATAATGTGGGGGGAGGCATGGGAGTGCTGTGTAACACAGAGAAGACAAGTAGTGATTCTATAGATCTTACTACACTGATGGACTGCGACTGTAATGGGGCTTTAGGGGGGGTCTTGGTGAAGGGGGGAGTCTAGTAAACATAATGTTCTTCATGTAATTGTAGATTAATGATACCAAAATACAAAAAAAGAAAGAAAGAAAAGGATAGGGTAACTGTTGAACCACTGTGTTGTATAACTGAAACCAATGTAAGATTGCATATCAATGATACTTCAATTAAAAAAAAATGAATGAGAGAAAAAAAAAGGATAAAAGTGGGCACATGCTATGGAGATGTACAGAGGGGGAACTGTTTCACTGCCTGACAGGGTCAGGAAACATCCCCTGGAGGTGACATTTGAGCCATATATTAAGGATAGACCAGCTGGACAAGAGTTGAGAATTACACGGGGCTAGCATCAAGAAAGGGCATGAGATGTCCAGGAACTGCAAGGAGTTCAGTGAGTTCACTGTGTAGGATACACAGAAGATGGAGCTGGAAAGACAGGTAAGATACTAGAATCCAAAGGGGTGGAGGCCAGGCTAAGGAAGGCCTATGGACAAATCATTATAGGATTTTCATGAGCCCTGACAAAAATTATGCATTGAGGAAGGCCATTCTGGTGAAGGAATGCAAAGAGCATGGCTGGAGTCTACAGGGATCAATCAGTGGGCTACGTAGCAGAACTAGAAGAAAGATGGGAGAAAGACAGTGGTCAGAGAAGACAGATTTAGGGGAAAGAAAAAGGCGGGCTCATTATATTTAGAACAAAGGAGAAGTAGGAGATCTGGATGATCCCAAATCTGGCTTCGTTGATTAGGTAGATTACATTCCAGTCATGCTGACAGCCAAAAAATATAGCAGGAAAAGCAGTTTTGGGGCTGAGGAAGAGTCCTGTTTTAGTTTCTGATGTTGAATCTAAAGAGTCTGTGGGGCACTCTGAGAAGGGACTAGTGGTTACCAAAGTGGAAGGGTGGGGGAGTGTGGGTGGGGAGGGAGGGAGAAGGGGATTGAGGGGTATTATGTTTGGTATACATGGTGTGGGGGGGTCATGGGGAAGACAGTATAGCACAGAGAAGACAAGTAGTGACTCTGTGGCATCTTACTACACTGATGGACAGTGACTTCAATGAGGTATGGGGGAACTTGATGATATGGTGATTGTAGTAACCACATTGTTTTTCATGTGAAACCTTCATAAGAGTATATATCAATGATATCTTAATTTAAAAAAAGATCACTTAAAAAACAAAACAAAACAAAACAAAAAACCTACTAGATGTTCAACTCAGCTAATAAGGAAAAACATTAAAGAACACAAGGAAGGAAAAAAATGGAGTCTGTGGGGGTATCCAGGTGGAGGGGTACAAGCTTAGTGTGAAAATATGGCTTAGGAGCTCAGAAGAGACAGCAGTCAGTCACAAATGATGAGTATTAGATGAGGTCTCTCAAAGGGAAAAGAAGGGGTCAAACAGAGCGTGCTGGGGGATCCTGAGCATTATTCCAGTTCAACAGAACAAAGTCTGTCTTTCTCTTAGAAGGAGAGTAAGGAAGAACAGATGGAGAGGCAGGAGAACTGAGAGAAGTGGTGTCATGAAAGACAAGAATGGAGTTGCAAGGAAGTAGTCATTTACAAATTTGGGGAGAAACTATATTTAAGGAGCAGAAAGAAGACTACTTCCTTGAGGAGAAAGAATATTTAGGAAAGTGAGAAAATCAAGAGAAGGGAGTGTCAGTAATTAACAGAGGAGAGCTGCAAGGAGTGTGAAGCAAAGTAGAGAGGTTCAAGAGGATGGGAGTCTGCTAGAAGGACCATCAAGAAATCACAGGTGACCTTAATTCAACAAGCATTTTAGCATCAACAAGGCCCTATGGTAAATAAAGGAAGTCAAGAGCTTGTGCACGATTGTTGGTGCCAGATCACTGAGCAGATGGTAGCTGAGATGGGCCTTGGAGGGTAGACCTGAATTGACAGATGGCTACAGAGGGAGGAAAAACAGGAACTGTTCAGGCAATGGCCAGGCCCTGGTGGGTGACTGCAAGGGCAAGGAGGAGCTAAGGCTTTTCCTGACCACTTTATTTTACCTCTCTCTGTTTTATCTCTACCACAGTATTGTCCAATAGAACTTCCTGCAATGACAGAAATGTTTCATATCTGCACTAATGCGGCAGACTCCAGCCACAAGTAGCAATTGGACCTTAAAATGTGACTAGTACAATAGAGGGAAAACATTTTAAATTTTATTTAATTTTAAATAGCCTCTTGCGGTTAGTAGCTACCATACTGAGCAGTATAGCCACATAACAAAATTTCTTTTATTTTACTGTGAATTGTCCTCTGCTAACTAAAAGCTCCAAAAAGGCATGGACCACATCGTGTTTTATTAGCTTATATATACCCCCATCACCTAGGCCAGGGCCTGTCACATAATGGATGGTCAATAAATATCTGTTGTGGTTAAATAAATGATATTACTAAAGCCCAATTACTGTTTAGTGCTGCAAACATCAAGATATTTTTGCTAGAATCCCAAAGGGGAAGACACTTGTTAGAGATTCGGGCGATGGAAATGTATGCAATGCATTTATAGGACCATGGCACTGAGTCCCTGCTCTGAGGGTTACTAGATCACCTATCCGTGAATAACAGTGTACACCTCAGGCCCAAGAGTGGGGGAAGGAGATGAGCTAGCCTGGAACCTGTGAGGTAGACAATCCTCTCTGCAGACTGAGTTCAATTTTGAACTCTGAGCAGCCTGGCTTGAACCTGAAGTTCCCAAAGAGCCCCAAGATAGAGGGCCTCATTACACTGTGTTTGATGTGTGGGGTAGTTCTCGCCAGTCCTTTTTATGCATGTATACAAAAAGATTTATTTTAAAGGACCCCTGGATACTAGTCATCAAGATGAAGGCCCTTAGTTATAAACCTGTAAGGCAGATTATATTTCTTTCTTTCAGGTGGTAGTTAATTACAGAAAAGCTACTGCATTTTGATTAATCTATGTAGCATTTGAAAGAAAAAAATCCACACTCACTATGAGCTCATGGCTAAGCCCAGGAATAAAAAATTATCATTACTTTACCTTGTGCAGCAATGAATTTGTTCTTTTCTTGGTAGCCCTGGGGGTGGGGTGGGAAAGGAGTAGGGGAGAAGAAAATGAAAACCAAAAATGGATAGGAATGAATTCTCCAGACTTCCAACCAGTCAACAAAGCTTCCCTAGTGAAAAGTTTTAGGCAATTAACAAGGATTTCCATTTTAGAAATTTCCAAGGGATTAGCTTTGAGTAACAGGTATCAAAGATTACAAAGATTACATGGTCTAGGTCGTCTTCTCAAAGTGAATTATTAGTGAACAGTGTAATAAGAACATCAAATACCAACTCCTAGGCTAGATCCTGTTTCTGACGCTTTCTCAGTGGCTGACAATTTGGGTCTTAGTGTGAACAGTTAAGAACCCTCCAAGGCAGACGCACATGTGGTAGTTCCAGGGATGAAGCCGGACCCACCTTGGGAAGGAAAGGGATTATTTTCTTGATGAAACTACTCAGGTACAAAAACTTTCTGGGAAAGCCTGTGGGAATGGTGGAACAGTTCCCAATGTTTCACAACAGGGTTCTCCCATTATGGAAATGGAAGACAAGAAGCAAAGGAGCCTGCATATGCCACTTACTAGATAAGGAGCCTCTGAAAAATGACACCTGGCAGTAACTTTCTTTTTCAGTTTTTATTGTTTTAGTTATACATCTTTTCAGCCTCACTGTTTAAATGCAGTAATCACTTGAGAAATCCTAGGTAAGCAAAAAATCATTTAAGGACTCTAAGTCACCCTCTGCCAATCTCAGACAGGAAAAGATGGGTAGTGAGGGAAGGGGCAGCCTCATGGATGAGACACCATGCCACACCAAGGTGACAATGTGAAATACATGTCTGCAAGGCAGTGGCAGAATAAAGGAGGGGGGCCTGAGTCTGTGAAGCCATGTCCTTTTCCAGTTCAAACAAGGGCAGGGCAGTTACTTCCTACCACAGAAAAGAGAAAGCTTTAAGCCTAGAGATGGACATGTTTAGAGTTAGCAACAAGAAGCCTATTAAAATTCTTACTGGGAAGAGGAATTTAAGTTTTTGCAAATGTTTTCATTCATTAGAAGACAGAAACTTAGAAAGCCTTAATTCAGGATGCTGCATTTTGCCTATGTACCAAACTTATAATAAAAACTGAAAAGCACTTAGAATATGTTAAGCCATACTATATCCCTGCTCCACTTGAAGTCACTGCTAAATTCTCACTGGAGCAATGAGCCATGAATAGCTTAAAAACACTGTTGGAGGGCCCAGCCCCCAGTGCTTCCTGCCCCATCTTTCCCAGGCGGGTGCCTATGTTCTCCATTAAGGCCTACATAATGGTACAGCAGCATTGCTTAACCAGCAAGATGGTTAACAAGGCAAAACTACTCATCTTCCTTGTGTTATATTCAAGGGAAAGATGAAATGTGGCTTCCTAGTTTCTGAGACATCTTTGGATTCTGAAAGCTAAATCCCAGCTGCCTATAAGTGGTAGCTATATTCCTACCAGTTAAAAAAAACAAAAACAAAAAACTACTTCTAACAACCCTATATACTCTTAGACATCTAAGGGTAAGACTCCAGGCTGCACGCCCACGTGCCAACTGTGCATCGCCTGCTTCCTCTCCTCCTAAAGCCAGGTTTGCTCTCAGACCTTTGTGCTCTCCAGACCAGGTTCCATGTCCCTCTGCCTATTGTCACCACTCCATGGTGCCTGGTACCACCTCTCTTTATGATTCATGTGTGATCCTAGTTCTCTGTGCAAAAAAGGCTTGGTAAATGGTTGTGAGGGGTGGGAATGGGGATTAACTGCCTGTGGACAAGAAGGTTCTTACTGGGGTGAGCAAAATGTTCTAAAAGAGGCAACAGCTAGAGGGTATAGGGTTTCTTTTTTTTTGAGGTGATGAAATGTTCTCAAATTGACTGGTAATGGTTGGATATATCTGTGAATATATTTAAAAAACCACTGAATTGAAAACTTTAAATGGGTGAACATTATGGCATATGAATTACATCTCAGTTAACAGCGTTAGAAGATATTCTAACACACATAAGGTGATGGCAGCATAGCCTGGTAAACTTACTAAAAATCACTGGATTCTACATTTTAAATGTTTGAATTTTTGTTATATATAAACTATACCTCATTAAAATTGGAAGGATAAGAACGTTTGGTAAGTGTAACTGGCAGCCTACAACAAATGGCCTCAATTTGCTTCAGCAAAGGACATTGTCAACCTCTATACTCCTCATCCACAGCACATCTGCTCCCTCCTTCCCTCTGGATCTCTCATCTGCCCTTAACCCTGCTAACCACTCAAGAGTTCTTCCATGTTTATACTCCTCTCTCTTCTCTCCTGGTCTCCTTTTGTCTCACTCATGAGGACCCTTTGATCAGTGTGCCAGGCAGAGGCTGGTGGGCCCCAGAGCCCAGTCTCTCTAGTAATTTCCAAGGCCATGGCTCTGGAATACCTCCTCTGAGCTCTGGATCAATATGACCAACTATATACTGGATACATTCATAGGATCACCCTATACCCAATACACCCTATAGAGAATCATCCTGTACTCTCTCTCACGTATACTATCAGTCACCAAGTGCTACTAAATTCTACCTCCAAAGTCATTTTTATTTTGCTGCTTCCTTTCCAATCTTTCTACAGGCCCTAATCATCTGTGACCTGCTATTGTAACAGTCCCAATTGGCCCCTCCTAAGTCCATGTTGCACATGGTAGCCTGTGTGAGTGATCAATATGTAAATGGAGCCATGTCACTCCCAGGCTTTAACATTCTCAATGTTATTGCCTAGGGAATTAATCAAAACCCTTAGTTGTACTGAAATTTGCAGATACAATAAGGTGGTTCACTCAACGCCCAGTCCCACCCCCTCAGAACTTGACTTTTTTACTACAGAGAAACTAAAAGCTAACTTTCCTAGACTCCCTCACAGCTCAGTTCTGCATAAGACTTAGCTTCTTTCTAGCAGATGCTCCCACACAGGACTTGGGGAAGAAGTGAGCAATGTGAGATGGTGACTGTGCTAGGAGGATATGGTCTTTGGGCAAGCACGGCAGCAGGACTACCCAGTTCTTCTGCAGCACCTGTGCAGAGGTCTCACTATCAGAGTCATAAGGGGTAGTTGCATACATCATTGGCTGCTCTGTTCCTTGCTGAGCAGCACCTTAGCTTGGCTCACTGGCTCTCCCATGGATTTTGTAAGCTACCCATATCTTACAATAAACCCCTTTCTACTTAAAAGATTAGACAGAAAGCAGACTCCATTGTCTGCAACTAAGAACCACAATGACATCTAATGCTTTCCAAGATCGAGTTCCTACCAATCCCCCAAGCCTAATTCCCAGTGACTTCCTATTTTGTACCTTACAATCTAAGACTACTGTTTCTAGTCTCTGACTTCGTTCATGCTTTCCCTTTTGCTTTGAAGTTTCTGCTCATCTTTCTTCTCCTGAGTTTAGACTTATGCTTTCCTATCAACCTCTACTGGATCACCAAGTTGGCTGAATGTTTCTTTCCCTAAGTCCCACAGAACCTGGCAATACCTCCTTTACATACTACAGATGGCAAAGCTTGCTTTTGTTTTTAGTTATCTTTAGCTCAATAAAGGATTCACTGACTCCTACAGAAAGCACACATTTAGATTCAGATTTCTGCATAGGAAACCTTTGGGAATGATGACAGGGTAAACATTAAGAATACATTTTAAAATACCTGTTTTGATCTTTAAAATTTTTTTCAGTCCCTTAAAAAAATTAAGATTCCTCAGAAAAAACCTGAAATGACAAATATTCTTCCTAATATGCAGCTTGGAAAGGAACCAGTAGATGGTAGCCAGCAGTCACTTAAGGTAATATGAGAAATGAGAAAAGCTTGAGTTCCTTACATTGATGAATGAAGCATTGATGTAATCAGAATCTGGAACTCCTTCAATTGGTGTCAGATGGACTCTAGAGTGGTCATCTAGAAAAAAAATTAGTATTTCAATTAAATTCAATTTTATTTTTTACTGGTGCTTATGTAACCAGGCCTGTTTTGAGATGTCTGTGCTCATGAGTACAGACATACATGTATAAAGATGTCACTGCAGCACTACCTCTAACAGCAAAAATTATGACCCATCTCAACAATCACTAGGGGGATGATTAAATTAAGATATATCCATCATATGGAATAGTAAGCAGCTAGTAAAAAGGAAAGTGTATATTTCTGTTTGACAGATGAATTGCCAATATATAGTTAAAAAAATACAGCAATGTACACAGCATACCAATTATATTTTTAAAATATATACAATACATACACATTAATACACAAACAAGACACTAAGTATCAGTAAATGTAAATATATTATGCACCCAAAAATAAAGCAAAGTTCAAACATTTCACTCCTGCATCCCACTAGATTATGCATATTCCATTCTGGAGACCACTGGCCTAGATAAATATCTGTTATAGATCAACAATGATTAGCAATGGCTAACTTTGGGAAGGGGTCATGAAGAGAACTCTGAATTGGATTGTTTTTGCAATGAGCACTCCAAAAAAACCACAATGACTGTGTAATCTTATCTGGTCTTCTGGTGAAACTGCTCTCCTTAATCACTTAGAAACTTAAGACCTGCCACAAAAATCCTAGTCAAGCACCTGACATGACTTTATGTTGCCCTGGGAACCCAAGGCTTGATCCTACTCTTATTACCAACCCTCCTATGATCAACTGCAAGATTCTTCCCATCCTCAGAAAATCTGGCTAGAGATGCAATTTCAGGTTACATTCCAAAAACCTTACACTCACAAGGCAAGATGTTTACATATCGATTTTTTTCCTTGTTTTCCTCCTTGGAGGCAGCTTCACAGGTAGCCTGGATAGGGCAAGCAGGGAGAGCCTGAAAGGTTAAGAGAAATCAGAGGAGTTACTAAGAGGGATAACCACCAAACATGCAAACTGCTGCACCATACCCTGACTTGGCAAGTTTTGTCTTTTCTTGGGAGAAAAAGACGGGCCCAGGTGAATACTTGCAGCCCAAAACAGAGAGTACACCTCTCCTCTGCAGAGCCTGCAAGCTCCTTAGAATTTAACATCAAGAATCCCCAGGGGGGCAAAACACCCTTCCTATTACTCTAAGTGCAGCATGCTCTTTATATGATTACGATGTGGTTAGGTGCCTGTCATAATGCTGGGTCAGAATGGACCACCCCTATAAACAGGAGGGGGGACATAACTGAAGGGATGGGCCATTTATACTCCTGTTAACCACCATGCAAAGATGAGATGCATTTGAGTGAATGACAGGAAAGCTCTAGAATGTCAGCTGAGTTAGGTGCCCTCTAGGGGCCTGACACGGGAGTACGGCAGCCTAGACTCAACGCAGTAAGGAAGCAAGGACAGGCGGGGAGGTGGGAGGGGCATTCACGTGGATGCAGCAGTTAAGAGGCAGAGGGTCTGGGTGAGATGACGGACTGCGGCAGTTTTAGAGCAAATGTACATTTTAGAGCAAATGTACATTAGCTAGCACTGGGAAGTATGTGGGTAAGCACAAATGGCATGACATGAGATAGTCTGGACTGTGTGTGCTTGAGCAAATCTGTTTGACTTTTTAAGAGCAAAGTTTCCTCATCTGCAAAATTGGGATACCACCTCTTACATAAGGAGTAAGTAAGATAATCTCATGTCTGACACAGAATAAGCATTCAATAAATTGTTTTTATAGGTGTGGGAAATTCAACTTTATTATTTAAATTGTTTTCTTCTTATATGTTCAAAACTAAGAAAGCAAAAAGGGAGGCAGCCTAAAATTCCATCCTGGACAACCATTCTGATAAATCATTTGGAAATGTTTTATGAGCCTCAAAAATATTCATACCCTTTGACCTAGCAACTCCACTTCTGATGATCTAGCCTAAAGATATAAGAATTTTATGTTCAAATTATTTACTTCATCATTGTTTAGAATGACCCAAAACTGAAAACAACCTTAGTATTCAGCAGTAGGGGAACAGTTAAGAAAATTATGGTTCATGTATTATTTTCCATTCATCCTTTCAACAAACATATATTGTGTACCTATTAGGTACTTGGCTAGGCACAGAGCAAACAGTGCTGAATCAAACATATAAGGTCCTTGATCTCATGGACAATACAGACTTGTGGGTGAAAGATGAACATTAAACAAAAGAAGATAAAATTATACACCATGATAAATGCAATGAAAGAACAGAATGCTATTAGAGAAAGTATCAGAAAGCACAAGAAATACCCAAATACCCAAATTTAGACTAAGAATAGGTCTCTATGAGGAAGATAAGTGTGGAAAGTAGGATTCCAGGCACCAAAACCAGCATCTCCCAAAGACCTGCCCTGCCTTGTGTGAGGAACTAACTGAAAGGCCAGTGAGGGTGTTATGTGGAAAGCGTGGCTGGTGGGGGTAGCAAGAAGAAGTGGAGTAGATGAGCTTGGCAAGGTCAGATCATACATTTCCATGTAGGTCCTTGACTAGGGACTGAGAATTTTATTTTAAGTGCATGAGGAAAACCATTCAAGGTTTTTAAACTGCAATCCAATTTACATGTTGAAGAACCATGCTGGCTACAGGAATATGGACCAGAAGGCAAGAATAAAAGCATGGAAAGATGATGTGATGGTTCAAGGAAACAAATGCACTTGACCTACATTCCAAGTTAGAATCACTTGATTTAGAGATGGAATGAGGGATGGTAGATTGGGGAGAGAAAGAGACAAGAATGAAGGTCTCTCAGGATTCTAGCTTTGATAATAAAAATATATATATGAGTAAATAAAGGAAATACCAACCTAAAAGGAACAAATTTTGCCAGATGGAAGCAAAAGCTTTAAGGGAGCAACTATATTTCCTAGGAACTGGCAAGATAGTGGTATGAGAAATTAAAGTGAAAGACCCTTAGATAATGGTGGTCAGTGTCTCATAGTCTATCTGCCTTCACTTACTCAAGAGATTTTCCTTTGAGTTCAAACCCTGGAGTTTCTACATGCTATTTTACTGAGAGAGGCAATTTCTTTAGACTCTATGCTGCCAATACACAAAGGGGAAAAAGGAGTTTCCTGGGTTGGACTCTTACACATGGAACAGAGACCTTAGACTGGAATTTCTGCCCATAGCCTGCTTTCTCTTCATCCAGATAGGCTAGATTTCCATAGGTTTCCACACTGGGCAGGGTGAGATACAAGATTTTAAAGCCCTTATGACTAATTCAGAGGCATTAATTTTCTTGTACATCCCTTGTCTAAAATTATGTAGAACAGAGGTAGTAATAGCAAGACTCTTGAAAAAAGTCCTCAGGGTCAGGAATGACAATGACCTCACAGTCCTGTCAGCACCCATAGCTGCCCCTGTCACAGTGAAGAAAGGCTGCATCTCCTGCCAGGCTGAGGCTCCTAAAAGGAAAGTTAGGAAGAAACAGGAGCCATTGTATGGTAAGAGAAAAGAAAGGACCTGCCAAGAGAACATTGTCTTAGAAGAAAAGGGTCAGACTGAAGAGCCTAGGTCAGGGATGAAAACAAGGGATGAAACTACTACCTTCAGTTCCTACTTTGAAAAACCTAGCACACAGAGCTAGGTAGAAGCTGCTGAACAAGAAGATTATGTTACATTCTCTAGAAACACTAGGTGGCATCAAAGACCACTTCAGTTCTTGCTTAAGCCTTTACTCGAAGCAAAACTTAACATACCAAGTAATTTTTTAAAAACATGCAATTTTTAAAAATAATTTCATTTTTTATGTGTATACAAAAGGATTGCCATCACCCAGTTTAACTTAGAAGTTCTCTTTCGGCCCTTTCTCATCATATCCTTTTCCTTCTCACAAGTAAATGTGGAATTTTCTGTGTATTTTTACCTTGCTTTAATTTATTTGTATGCCTCAACATTCTGTATCCTTGAACAATATATTTTTATTGTTCAGTCTGTTTTTGGATAAAAATGGATCATAACCAAGTGGTTACTTGCTTTTTTTGCCCAACATTATGCTCTGAAGATAAACCCAGGTTGTTTTGTGTAGCTGAAGATCATTCCCTTTAACTACCTTGTAGTGCTCCATTTTGAAACTATACCAACATTTATTTATCCATTCTACTACTGAATATTTGGGTTGTTTACAGTCAACAATTCTGCTTTGAGCACTAATCTGTATGTTTCTTTGTGCACATGTGCAAGTTTCAGGTATGAGTCTCTTTAACTTCACCAGGGAATGCCAAATCAATCTACACTCCCACCAGCAATGCAAAGTGTTCCAGTTGTTCTGGGTCCTTGTCAATATTTGCTACTGTCAGACTTCAACTGTATCAAATCTAGGTTTAATTTACATTTCTTTGATTATTAATGAGGTTCACCATCTTTCCATAATTTACTGGTCAACAGGGTTTCCTCTTCTGTGTAGTACCTAGTCAAGTGTTGTCCCCATTTTTCCACTGATTATTTTCTTATTAATTTGTAGGAGTTCTTTACATATTCTGGATACTCATCCTTTATCAGTTGTAAGTGTTAACAAATATCTTTTTACCAAGTCTGTGGCCTGCCCTTTCATTTTCTTTATGGTATCTATTTACAAACAGAAGCTTTGCATTTTAATGCAGTCAAGTAGATCAATCTTTCTCTTTACCAACATTTTAAGTCTTAAGAAACCCTTTCTTACTGTGAAATCATAGGCATATTTTCCTATGCTATTGTCTCTATGTTTCATCATTTTGTCCTTTAAAGTTCAGTGTTTACATAAAAAAAAACTGGTTTTTGTTTGGTCTCAGACAAGAATTCAATTTCATTTATTCCACCAGGGTTACCCAACTGCCTGAGAACTATTTGTTGCGAAGACAACAACTGCACTAGCATTTCTGTCATAAATAGGTTTCCGCCTATACATGAATATGCTTTGAGGCTATTTTATTCCATTGGTCAATCCGTCTATCCCAGTGCCAATACAAAACTGTCTTAATTACTTTATTTTATAATAACTGTTTATATCTGGTAAGGCAGGTCTCCTCACCTTGTTCTTCTTCTTCAGGAATGTCTTGGCTATTCTTGAATCTTTTCTCCTCCATAAAAATTTTAGAATCAGCTTGTCAAGTTCCACAAAAAACCTGTTGGGATTTTTATTGGAATTGCATTGAATCTATGTATCAGTTTGGGGAGAATTGACATCTTTACAATACTGAGCCTTCTAATCCACTGACCTAATCTCTTCAACTAGTTTAGGCTTTTCTTTAATGTTTTCAAACATTTTTATGATTTTCTCCAAAGATTTTGTAAATATTTTGCTAAGTTTATTCCTGGTACATTTTAGATGCTATTGTAAATGGCATGTTTTAAAAATTATTAGATTTTCTGACTGTGGTTTATGTATAGAAATACATTAATTTTTATGCTGTTTTTGTACAACCTTACTAAAATAACTTATTAATTCTAGTAATATATTTGATGAGTCTTTGGATTTATCTTAGGACAGTATTTTCCTTGGTGAAAAATCCATGTTTGTTTATCCTTTCCAATCCTTAATACCTTTCATTTCTTTTCATGCCTTACTGTGCTGCCTAAGATCTCCAGTACAGTACTGAATCTTACTCACTTTTAAGTTTGAATCCCCTTTTCAAATACTCTCACCTAATGGTCACCAGTGCCTGAACATTCTGCCATGATGCGGAATCTAATAGAGTTCGACTGTCTTTCAAGGCAGTTCTTCTCATCTTGGAACAATTCTGTTCAGAAGGACCCAACACCTAGATACAGAATTTCTTTTGCATTTCCCTTGTACTGACTAGTGTAAAACCCAGATGTCAGCTGGCGCCTTCTCTGCCCCTTGGAAACCTGGGGCCCTCAATTCCCTGGACTACTGAATTCCAACGCCCTTGACACAGTTC